GGGCAATCCTACTTCCGTAGTGATACTGCCTCGGAAACCCAAGGAGGGGTCGCTATGAGTCAGGGCTGACTCGACGGCATATAACAACAACATGTTCAGGTTTAGATACTGGGTATGCTTTCCATTAGCACATATTGTCTGGATCAGAGAAAATTCTTACTGGTTTGCAATCCCTGTCCAAAAAAAAAAAAAACTTTTGATTTCTGGTATTAGTTATACCTTGCCTCCTCCTACAGCAACAGAGGACAGTTGAGGCAATAACAATTAGGCCTCACTTTTCTGAGTGACTCTAAGATGTACATGGCCAACAGGGAAAAGTGACCACTGGCTTATCTCTAACAAGTCACTGCAGTTGGCACCTTCTCCACCAAGGACAGTGCTGGAAGGTCCTGTTGTTGTCTAAAAGAAGACACTGGTCTGATAGGCTCCAATAGGGCCAACAATTGAAGAGGGAGATGCCAAGATGTGGGTGTATCCTGCGCTGAGGTAGAAAAGAGCAACAGCAATCGGCCATTACCTTCTTTAATCCCTGCACCCAATGTAAACAGATGATGTGTCCTTTTTCCCAGCTTGAGTGCCTGTGCTCCATATGAGGCAGTCATGCAGTGAAACTGCTGTTTCTAACTGAGGAACCATCTGGAATAACTAGTAAGTCCATTAGTTTTTCAAATTAAGCAATCCGAATTTCTTCACAATTTAGCCTACTCTAGAATAGACTCTGGTAGCATAGTGGCTAAGGCACTTGATTGCTAACCAGAAGGCTGGCGGTTCAAACCCACCAGCCACTCCCCGGAAGGAAGGTTGGGCAATCCTACTTCCGTAGTGATACTGCCTCAGAAACCCAAGGAGGGGTCGCTATGAGTCAGGGCTGACTCGACGGCACATAACAACAACAACATAACAGAATAGACTACGTCCAAGTTAAAATATGTTGTTTGTGTTAGTTGCTGTCAGTTGATTCTGACTCGGGGTGACCCCAAGTGTGCAAAGTAGAACTGCTCTGTAGAGTTTTCAAGGCAGTGACCTTTCAGAAGCAAAGTGCCAGGCCATCTCCCAAGATGCCTCTGGGTGGGTTCAAACCATTAACTTTTTGGTTAGTAGCCAAGGGCCTAGCCATTTGCATCACTCAGGGACACTAATTAAAATATGTGTATTACTAATTCTTACTCTTTACAAAGCTAATCTGTCAATAAATAAGGCATCCAGGATTCTCACAAATTATCTTGTTGGGAATGTATTCAAGGATTCTTTATTAAGATAGAATAAAAATATAAAACCAAAAATTACATTGGTATGTTTTCATATTCAGATAGTCACAGCAGACAAAATAGTAGGAAAGGAAAAATTATTAACGTAGCATTTTCTTGAGTTAGCAGGGGCTGGCAAACTATGGCCAGTAAGCTAAATCTAGTGCACTCCTGTTTTTTTGTAAGGCATGCAAGCTAAGAAGGGTTTTCATGTATTAAATGGTTGACAAAACCAAAAGAATCATTTTTCATGTCATGTGAAAGTTATATGCAAATCAAATTTCAATGGCCATGATAAACTTTTATTGGAACATAGCTTTTCATTTCCATATTGTCTATTGCTGCTTTTACATTTATGATGACAGTATGGTCCAGAGGGCCAAACATATTTACTATTTGACCCTTTATGGAAAAAGTTTGTCAGTATCTTCTCCACAGTATGGAGTGGGCATGGAAAACATGTGTCATCAGAAAAGGAGATAAGTAAAACAAGGGAAAAAGAAAGAGCCTCAAACTCATCAAATACAACTTTTTGCCATGAAACTCTTATGATCTCACCTGCCTACCTAACAGCCCATAATTTTGACTAATTTTAATGCTTCCTGTATTGTTTTCACAGAATTCTGTTCACTTATGTGCTTCAGCTTGATAAAACTTTCAGCTATTTCACAAATTAGCTAATTTCCTTTAACTCAGTGAGTGCTGGAGCAGGCAACACTGCGGAGAATTCTTAGTATGTTTTCTAATTCATTCAGTCATTTTGGGAACCTTTTGTGTCAGGTACCCATCAGGGTACTTAGGAAGATGCAAACCTGGTCCTCCAGCATAAGCAGGTCTTGAAAAGAGAGCAGCTTGGCGTTATCTCACAGCCAGATAACACGCTGAATTCTACATTTCAACATTCCATAGAGCTGTCTTTCATCCAGGTTGCAGGTGTGCCACAATTTGATTGGCCTGACCATATTCTTCCGGTTTCTTATATAAGTGGTTCCCCCCCCCCCCAAACATTGTTCCTCCTGCCTACAAAGAAATGTTTGGATTCTCAAAACAACGTATGGGCCAGAAATCCCTGAAGCACCTCTTTCGACTGGAATGCAGTGACTGCTTTGGAAAATTTAAAGAAAAGAATTTTCCGAATCAGTGACTTTTAGAAATCACTTGGGCAGTGATTTTGTAAAAATCATCTAGTTATATGGTAACACTTTTTCCCGAACATTTTTGTATGAATTTTTAAAATATCTACAATTAGAATTACTACGGAATAAAGGGCGTGTATATGTAGAGGAAAGAATTACACTTTCCTCCCAGAAAGGCTCTGAACCCTTCCTTCATCCAGGCCCCCTTAAAGGTCTCCCTTTTTGAAGCACCAGGAAGTTGAACGCCCACCCGAGATCCCGAAGATGCGAGACCCCAGAGAACACCTAATTCTGCCACCGGGGGGCGTAAGACGAGCAATTCACGCTGCCGAGACAGGGAAGCCAGGACGACCTTCCCACACTTAGGGTTTACCTCAGCTGTGCTCTTGGCAATCTGAAAGCTGGAGCTTTTGAAGAGCCCCACCACCTTCACCTGCAGCGTCTGCTCGGGCGGAGACCGCAGGCTGCACAGGTTCGGCTTCGGGCGGCAAGGCTGGGGTACAGCCATCGCCGCGGCTCGCTCCGGCAGCGAAGTACAAACACTGCGCGTCGCCAGGACAACCGCAGGCCCCGCCCCCGCCGCTCTCAGCCGGGCGGGACGGGGCGGGACTTGGGACCAGCGGTTGCTGTGGGCCTTTTCCGCAACTTTGCGCCTGTTGCCTGTGAGCCTAGCTGGAGGAAGGAGAGGGGTACACGGGCGGCCAAGACTCGGGGTCGAGTTTCGGAAAAAAGAGTCGGGGAGCCCAACACGCGTGCTTCAGCCCCTCCCGCAGCGCGCCCCGACTCAGGATCTCCAGGTTCCCGCGAGCTCCCGCGCTTCGCAGCAGACCCTCTTTCCGGTCTGGCCGGCTGCCGGAGCTCGCGGTCAGTTTGTGGTCAGAGGCCCGGCTGCCTGGGTAACGCGGGAGCCAGTCCCGGGACGCGCGCCCTGCAGGCCCGGCTCGGGCGGGAGGAGGTCGCGGCGCAGCCGGCTGGATCCTTGGCCCTGAGCCGCGCGGGAGTCCCGGCAGTGACCGCCAGGGGGGCGGGGGCCTGGCCTGCCCACCTGTGCGCGCCGCCCCCACCCGCCCATACCCCGGCGGTCCCTTGGGAACCACGGCCGCATTAACCCGCTCCTTACCGTCCCCAGAGAGGCCCTGCCATGAAGCCCAACTTCTCCCTGCGACTGAGGGTCTTTAACCTTAACTGCTGGTGAGTTCGGCCGAGGAGTGGGGTCTGGAGGCCACATTTCGATTCACAACTACCAGTCACAGGAAAGAAGCCTTCCTCATATCCTGACCACCGCCCTATCCTGACAACGAACTTGGGGTTCAGAGGGAGCCAGCACGTCTAAGGCCCCATCTCAGTCCACCTCTGGTGGTGCCTGGTGCCAGAGTGCCGAGCACCCCCACGTGTCACTCCTTTGGTCCTTCTCTTCCTTAGGGACATTCCCTACTGGAGCAAGCACCGGGTAGACCGCCTGAAGCGCTTGGGAGACTTTCTGAACGTTGAGAGCTTTGACCTGGCTCTACTGGAGGAGGTAGGTTTGTGGGGAACTGGTGTGGAACCAAGGCTGGGAGGAGGGGCAGCCAGGGGCACGGAACTTTCACTCCACATATAAGGGAAGGGGCCGATCAGGCATCCTCACCCCTTCCTTCAGGTGTGGAGTGAAGATGATTTCGAGTCCCTGAGACAGAAGTTGTTGCCCACCTACCCAGCGGCACACTACTTCAGGAGGTGAGAAGCAAGCCTGTTCTCAGAACAGGAGGTTCTTGGGTCTGCCAGCCATTCCCTATGGTGCCTTTCCTTCCCACCCTCTTCCAGCAGCATCCTTTTTCTCTGGGTGTGGGAGCAGGAGATGATGGGATTAGGAAGAGCTTCAGCCGTCACCTTATTATCAGGACACCCCATCATCCTCCTGCGAAGGTTGTAGGAGGTTCCTTCTTTGTGTCACAGCTGGTCTTAGTAGCAGAGAGGGAAAATAATAATTGATAGAGTTGGGAGACAGGGGAGGGAAAAGAGAAGAAAGCAAGGTGGGGTATTTCCCTTCCTGGCTATTAAGTAGGGCTTGGCTTTCAGCGGACTCATTGGCAGTGGGCTTTGCGTCTTCTCCAAACACCCAATCCAGGAACTTGCCCAGCATGTCTACACCCTCAATGGCTACCCCTACATGGTAAGCCTGACCTCTGACCTCCTCCACCTGTTTCCTACTCTCCAGTAATGTAACGTAGCGTAGCGGCAGCCCTCTCCTAGCACTGCAGGGGATGAGCACAAAGAGGGTAGAGTGGCCTGCATCTCCCTCCCCCCAGCACCCTGAGTTCCTGCCCCCTCCTGCCTGCAGATCCATCATGGCGACTGGTTCTGTGGGAAGGCCGTGGGGCTGCTAGTGCTTCATCTAAGCAGACTGGTGTTCAATGCCTACGTGACACATGTGAGTGAAGCCAGCCGTGCTAGGGCTGGGACAGAGCAGGCACCCTCATCCTGAGGGAGAGATGGTACTCCTCTAGTCGTGCTGTCTTGGGTGTGGGATGTGTGGGTCTCGTAAGGTCACTGTAGGCAAAGCTCACCCCTTCTATACTGAGCATCATGCCAAGTGAGAGACACAAGCTTGATTTAGATTTTGCCCCTTGGACTCTCCCACTTATCTACCATCATCTTACTTATCTTGCTCAGCTCCATGCAGAATACAGTCGGCAGAAGGACATCTATCTAGCACATCGCGTGGCCCAAGCTTGGGAGCTGGCCCAGTTCATCCAGTGTGTGAGCCTGGGCTTGACAGGGAAGCGGGATGGGACACAGGGACTGAGGGGTGGCCAAGGGCCCATTTATAGGGGCAGAGGTGGTGAGGGAATAATTTCTGCCTCACCAACCTGGCTTCCCCTAGCCACACATCCAAGAGGGCGGACGTGGTTCTCTTGTGTGGGGACCTCAACTTGCACCCAAAAGACCTGGGCTTTCGCCTCCTGAAGGAGTGGACAGGGTTGCAGGATGCCTACATTGAGACCCAGGACTTCAAGGTGAGGCCCTGGCTCATTATTTCCCCACTTACACTCCAGCCTTTCTCCCTCTTCTTTCTCCCAACCTAACTCGAGCAAATATTCACCTAGGGCTGTGCTGAAGGCTGTACAATGGTGCCCCAGAATTGCTACGTCAACCAGCAGGAGCTGGAGCCATTTCCCTCTGGCATCCGCATTGACTATGTGCTTTACAAGGTCAGGGGCCTCGCCCACAATCTACCTTCACCACTGAGCTCTCTGTCACCAGCCTGTGCTGATTCTTGTTCAGTCTAGTCTAGTCTTAGAACACTGATGTCAAGCAGGGGAGAGCCAAGAGCTGGTTCTCTGAGACAAGGCCCTCAAACGTAAGCATCTCTCTGCCCTTCACTCTTTCTAGGCGGTTTCTGGGGTCTACATTTCCTGTAAGACCCTCAAAACTACTACAGGCTCTGACCCTCACAGTGGCACCCCCTTCTCAGATCATGAGGCTCTGATGGCAACTCTGTGTGTGAGGCACAGCCCTCCCCAACCCAGCCCCAGCCCAACCCCTGGTGAGTCACCCCACCCTGTCTCTTGGCTTAACCCTTCTACTCAAGACAGCTCCTCCACTCTGACCTTCTCTATCCTGCCCCAATGCCCTGCTTTGTTCTAGGACCAGCAGAGATGTCACCATTGATCACTGTGCTAAAGGAGACCTGGACGGAGCTGGGTCTGGGCATAGCTCAAGCTCACTGGTGGGCTGCCCTTGCCAGTTGCATGATTGGTCTGGGGCTGCTACTCCTGGTAGTGGTGTGTACACTGGTGGTGGGGGGAGAGGCCAGGGAAGTTACCTTGCTGCTCTTGAGCCCCATTGTGGGACTGGTGCTGGGGGCAGGTGCAGTCTACCTCTTCCACATACAAGAGGTCAAAAACTTATGTAAGGCCCGATCTGAGCTCCAGCATGTGCTGGGGAGGGCCAGGGAAGCCCGGGACCTGGGTTCAGTGCCTCAGCCAGCCCACCTGCTGGGGCAGCAGGAGGAAGACAGAGCTGAACAGCAATAAAGCTTGATCATATTTAGTGACTCTGCCTTTTTCCTTGTAGGGGCAGTGATGGGGCCCAATGGTCATTGTGATTGTCACAGTGTAGGCTTCCCTAACTCTCAATTTCAGGTAGCATGAGCCCTGTTTGTGGGAAAAACACTTTTATTGTAAACAATGAGGCCCTCACCCAGGCAGCCTAGATAAAGCAAGAGTGGCACTGCCTTGAGTGAGGTTGTGATGTCAGGCACTGACTGGGGGGAGATGCATATGGGCATTTCCTTGTAGGGCAGGAGGCAGACAGCCCATGGACCTCTAGCCTTGGGCTCCCATCCCTGAGGCCAGCTCACTGAGCCTGCGCTCCTCCTGGAAGCGGATAAGAGCGTCTCTCTGGTTCACCACATCCACCAGCTTCTTCAGGACCTGGTCCTCAGCCTTCCGATCGGCAGCTGTCTTTAGGGTTTCTATAGGGAGATAGTGAAACTTAGAGAACAGGGAACATGACAGGGAGGCAAGAGTGAGACAACCTAATCCTGGCCTTTGCAACTTCTACATCTTGGGCTTTGTTTCATAATCTGTAAAATCAGGAAGTTTGTTCAGACACCAGTAGTTTCTAGCATTATTTACAAGCAGCATCATATTTTGAGGAAATAGGTGAAAGCCCAGTGGTGCAGCTCTGGTTGAATTAAGGGAGAGGTGGAGGCCTTGAAGCACCATCCTCTGGTTTCCCCCTTGAATCAGACACACAGATCTTGGTACACCTGGTCTGTATCTGAGATCACAAGTCTTGTGCAACACCAGTCCCATGATGTCTGTCCCTCCCTACACCTCGCCTACCTTCCCGGTTCATGTAGCCTCGTAGTTCCTGGTCTAGCTGCCACTGTTTCTCCTCCAAGTTAAGCTCCTGTACCCTGTGGAGGTCAGGGAAAGATGAGGCACAGCTGTCCAGGTGGTCCCAAGACCTAGCTGGGGCTTGGCTTACATGCCACTGTCATGATCATGAGCCCCTTACGTGATCATCAGCTCAGCTTCCTCAGCCACCAGACTGTTTTTCTTCTGAACGAGCTGTAGCAGCTGTTCTAGCCACAGTGTCTTTTGCTGCTCTGGGGAGCCTGGTAAGAAGGAAGAAGGGGACAGGTGGTCAGGAGGTATTTAGACAAGGGCTGAGAAGAGACAGAACCCAGGGAAAGAAGTGTTGCGGGAATGAGGTGTGTCCAAGGACTGTTATGCTGTGAGCCCTGGTGTGTGGAAGAATTGCTCAAGGTGGAACAGGGAGCAGGCGGGCAGAGGGATGTCCTCACTATCCTCCCTTCTTAACTCACTGCTCTGACGCCTCAAGGCCAGCTCCAGCTTCACGCCCTCAGCCTCCAGCTCCCTCAGAGAAGCCTCGATCTCATTTTGTCGCCGCTGGATGGCCTGAGGGGTACAAGACAGGAAACCCAGAAGTCTTCAGATTACTCAAAAATGGGGCTTTGGAGGGGCTCTGATCCCCAGTCTCAGAACTTTCATCCCATTACACCTTCCAGGAACTCCTGGGCCTCACCTGGGCCTTGCAGAACCTCTTCATCTCCTCCTCCTTGGCACGGCGCAACAGAGTCATCCGCCATGTTGGGTACTTGTTCATGGTGCCTGAGTTCTTGGCAAAGGTCAGCAGGGCCTGTGGCAGGGTCAGACCAGTCAGGGGTAGGGCTGGACTCCTGGTGGATGGGTTTGGGAGGCTCCATTTGGCCAGGGCAGAAAAGAACTAAACTGGAAGTGGAGTAAGTTCTGGTAGATAAGACAGAGACTTAGAGACATGAAAGAGGCCGGCTGGGTCAAGAGGCATTTTAAGAGAAGGCTCAGAGGAGAGAGCATGGTGTAGACATCTGCTGGATGGCAGGGACGGAGGTGCTCAGTGGACACACTGTGTGGGTAGAACAGATGGCCAGAGTTCTTCCCACTCACCTCCTCCACGTCATCATCCAAAGCAACATCTTGTTCCTCCTCTTCCTCTTCACTAGAGGGGGAACTCTCTTCTTCTTCCTTCTCCAAGACCACAAGAGCTGAGCCAGGGAGCCCTGAGCAGAGGAGAGACAGACATGGCCTGAATCCCCATGTCCTTCCCTTTGCATTTCCTAGGATTCCCCAGCAATGGTCCTAGGACCACCCACCCCATGACACCCCCTAACACTGGGTCAGCCCATCTGTGGCCAGAGCCGAGCAGTTACCTTGAGGTCCCTGGGCTGGTACTCCCCAGCCCACAAAACTACCCTCCAGAGCCTGGCGGGCCAAGGCAGAGCAGCTTCGGGGGGGTTTGGGAGGGGGCTCCATCTCCGTGTCAGGGGTAAGCTTAAGGGAGGACAGTTGCTGGCGTTCTGGGCTGGAGAGGCGGATCAGCCGGCGGGTGGGCTGGCTGGGACTTGGAGCAGGCTTGGCCCTCTCCTGGGGGACTGTGGGCATCGAAGGGGCCTGTGGTAGGCTGTCATTGCCTGGTGTGGGTAGCTCCTGGAAAAGCAACATGGTCTGGTCAGTGGCCTGCCCAGTGTGGTGCTGAGGTCAGCCCTTTGGAGCAAATGGGGGATGTGGCATCTATTCATTCACTGAACATTTGCTGAATTGTGTCAGCCGATGCCTGAGATACACTGATGAGGAAAACAGACAGCAATCCCTGCCCTCAGGGAGCTTCCAAACTTTGCTAGGCTGGCTCAACCCCTTCCTGTTCCCCCCCCAACACCCACACCCACAAGTTTTACCGGATTCTCAGGGCCACTGTCCCTGCTAGCCTCTTTGTGATCTGGCTGGGGCAGGTGCTGGAGGCAGTAGAAGTGTCCTAGCAAAGGTGAGGAGGGGCAGGAAGAAGGAGGCATCAGGTGGAGGCAACCCAAGGATATGAGATAAGCTGCTCAGAGTTTATCTGACAAACTGACAGTTGGGGGTGGGGGAAGGAGAGACAGGACCCTGGATTTGCAGAGGCATTCCTGCCAGCCTCCTGGTTCCTTAAACCCCTCATTTGGAACCTTGTAGGAGGTAGAAAAGACCCTAAGCTCAGGGGGAAAAATGTCCATCTTGAGTTTGTTTCTGCCTCACGCCCACAATCCCAGTCTCCTCCACCCTAAGCTCCTTGCCCAGGCAGGGGCAGGCCCCACGTTCCTTGGAAGCCTCCCAGGCCCACTCACCATCTCCTGGGTGCTGCTCATAGCCACCTGGCCACAAAGTGGCCTCGCAGCTATGGCAGCGGAAGCAGCTCCGGTGGAAGAAACAGCCGTTGGCACACAGGCGTTCCAGGATATAGAGGTGTTCCCCACAGAGTGCACACAGGTCCCCAGCACCAGGCTGCATCACCCCAGGTCACAGGGTCAGCTGGAGCCAGGGCCAGGTACAAAGTTCATCCCAGAAACACCCCTCCCCCTCCCCAGACAGGGCCCTGCTCACCTCCTGGTGTTCGGATGGGGGTGTCAGGGGTAGACTGGACTCTGGAGCAGGTGGCTCCTCAGTACTTGGAGTCTTGGCCTCTACCTGAGGGGGGATAAGTACTCAGGCCAGGAGGGCAAGAAGGGCTGGGGAATGAGTGTGCCGATGAAAGGGCAGGAAGGGGAGTGAGACTAGCAAGAGGACACGCTTGGGGGGTGGTTACAGGACATGGGGTGGGTAGTAAGACATGGAGGGACAGACACAGGGGAGACAGTATGTCTCTGGTGAAGGGAGACAAACATGGGATGGGGACCATCCAGCCCCTGCTTACATTTACCTCCAAGCGAGGTTTCTTGCCACCAGCATCCTCCCCATTTTCCTGCAAGAAGTCCTATATCCTGAGTGTGGGACTCTGAGCCCTCAGTCTCTCTCCTCCCCCATTCTGAATGTCTTCCCCACCACCACCCAGGGACCCTTCCCTGGGCACTCCTGCTAGCCCCACCCCTGCCATCTCTCCACCTGGGTCCGGGTCCGCTGCAGGGTCCTATGTAGTTTGCCAAGGAATAGCACAGCGTTGGCAGTCCCTGGAGAGCCTTGGCTGACCGGGCCTGCAAGGGGGGAATCAAAGTGTCAGAGGAAATGGCGGGCCAATACCCACAGGACACAGAGCCACACTCCAGTCCAGAAAGACATCTCCCCTAGGCCCGCCCTCAGAGGGTTCCCCCAACCCTCACACCCCTCCACGTCCCCACCCCAGTGCTGTCCCACTTGTCACTCTCTAGTCACCTGGGCTGCGAGGCTTGTTCTTGAAGGCACTGTGGAAGTGGCTGAGGTAAGCAATGAGGCCCAGCGGGTCGCTCCCCGCCACCACTGCCTGTGCAGACAACACTGGCGTGATGCCCAGCTCCTGCTCTGCCATCTTCAGTGCCCACGAAGTTGCTTCCAGGGCACCCATCCCCTGCACATCTGAGGGTTCCCTGTGGGGTATGGGGGAGAGAGGTCAATGGGAGACAAGATCTGGCCCCATTGGAGAGAGGGGGCAGTGAGGAGATAGGAACACCAGGAGGGGAGGGATGAGCCAGGAGCTGGGCACTCAAAGGGAGGAGAAGGTGTGATGGTTCTTTTTTTCCTTCTGCTACCTCTTGCCCATTAATAGCTGCTGTGGCCTTGGGGTTGGGGGAGGCTCTACCAGTCACACAATTCTCTCCTTGATGCCTTTGATCCACACAAGACTCAGGCAGGACCACAGGAATTCTACCTCTAGGGAGGTGAAGTATAGGCCTAAGGACTATCAGGAAGAGGTGGAGCTGGGACTCAAGTGGGCATGCTAATTCTTGGTACATTTCTCATTGCTTGAAGTAGAGCAAGGGCCAGGGGCAGGAAAAAGAGATACGATTTGACAGAGGCCCCCACCCCTGCCAGATCCCCAACTCACAGCAGGCTGGGCTGCAGGCGGTGTACCAGGGCACACAGAGCTAGCCCATCAGCCCAGGAGGAGGACAGGTCAGTGACATGGACACCCGGGTACCCAGTGGTTTGCTCCTGACACCAGTGTAGCAGTGCCTCCTGGGTGCCTGCCAACCATGGGAGAGATGGTTACGCTGTGACCAATGCACAGGGAGCCAGTGTTGGGGGTAGGAATCTCTAAGGGAGGTGGAGTCAGGGACCCCATCCCCATCAGGGCACCAGCCTGAGGTTCACAGTCAGCAGCACCTCCACCATTCCAACATTCTCACTTAAAATATCCCCTTGCTGGAATTAGGGTGCTCTGGTAGCACAGTGCCTAAGGCAACCCACACCCACTCCTCGGAAGGACGATTGAGCAATCTACTCCCTAGGAGATACCGCCTTGGAAATCCAAGGAGGGGTCGCTATGAGTTGAATCGACTCAACAGCAGTGAGTTGTTTTGTTGTTGCTGGTGGAATTAAGTGGGGGATGAATAAAGTAAAAACACAATTAGCCAGATAGAGGGCAACAGCCTGTAAGCAGGATCAGAGAGGCCCAGAGGTTCAAAAGAAAGGATGTGCATGGTGGAATGGGTCAGGTGGTACCACTGGGAACAGAGGAAGGACCACGTGGCTGGCAGTTAGCTCTGTTATGGCTGAAAAGCTTGTTAAAGTATCAACATACTTCTGTACAGACTGGCAAACAGCTGCTGCTGAGTGCTCTGCTACCCCTCCACTTCTCCAGGGCACCCCAAACTTCCCCATCACCCACCAACTAAGCATCCTCCGGCACACTGCTCCCATCCTGATGCTATAGATAAATATTTTGAACACCCGCTTTGGAGTAGAGTCTGCTTACCAGTGGCCAACTTTCCCGAATCAGTCTTGTCATTCTTCCTCCGCCCAGGCTCCTTAGCCACCATGTCATACAAGTCTCGTACCTAAGGCAACCCCTCATAGGTTTCAAGTCAGGCTGACCACATGCCCCACCTCAGCCTATTGAGGAAGGGCCTGCCTGGGGTAGGACTGACCGAGAGGGGCAGTGACTAGGCAGGCCTGGAGGGAAGGCCTGTGCTAGGAGGATTGAGTTGGGAAGTCTGGGGATGGGAGGTGGTCTGACCTGGTTGGGAGTCACAGCCCGGAGGTTCACGTTGGGGTAGCGAGTGGCTGGGTCCAGCCCATACTGGGCCACATTTCGGTTCATATTTTCCGGGGATGTCTGTGACAGGAGCTGGTAGAGGCTCTCACTGGGGGGGGGGGGGGGGGGGGGGGCACGAGTGGGAGGGCACCTATCAGCACCCACCGCTCAAGACTGCCAGACCTTCCCTTTATTCTCTTCCTCATGCCACCGTCTATTCACCGAGCACCACCCCCAACCCTTGTCCCACATCCAGTCCCCTCAACAACTCAGGCCTCACCGCTCAGCCAACACCTCTAGGGGCTCAGCGCCTTCTGCCCACCGCTTCACCATCCAGGCTGCATCAAAGGCGGCCAGAAAGCCACGGGCCACTCCGGTGCCCAGGGGCCAAAAGGGCTGCAGGGTCACAAGGACAGTAACTAACTCAGTGAGGGTCCAATAGAGTACCTGCCCCAAACCCCAAGGTCAGACTAGAGGGGCTCCCCTCATCACATTAGGCAGCCTCTCACCTCCACCAAGCAGCCTTCAGCTCCTCCCCTCAACAAACCAACCTATATATATTTTTTTACCACCTGCTGCCTATTAGTTGTCCATGGGTGGTGTAAACAGTTAACATGCTTGGCTGCTGACCAAAAGGCTGTGAGTCCACCCAGAGGTGCCTTGGAAGAAAGGACTGGCAATCTACTTCTGAAAAAAACAGCCACTGAAAATCCTATGGAGCACAATTCTACTCTGACACCCACGTGGCTGCCATGAGTCAGAAGAGACTTGATGGCAACAGCCCCTTCTTTTCCTTATTAGGAATTTTTTCTTATTATTCCTGACCTTATTTTCCCAATTAGGAAGCTTCCTCCTCCCCCCACCAGGAAATCCTTATACTTCCTTATAGGCAGTCCTCGTCTTTCAAAGCAGTGGGAAGCCCCAACTCCTCCCCAGTCAGAGAACCATGAACCCCCTCACCTCCACCAGGCAGTCTCCCACCAGTCCCAGCAGGAGACGGGCACTGTGCTTCTCTTGTACACGAGCAGAGCTCTCCGCCCGCATCATGGTTGTGAAGTCAAAGGCAGAGACGTCAGGCCGCCCATGGGCATCCTGGGCAAACTCCAGCTTCCCGAGCTTGCCATGGGTGGCAAAGTCAGCAGCTGCCCGGGCAAAGCGCTGTAGAGCCTCGGGCACCACATTGGCACTGCCTAGCAGCCGATCAGTCTCCGAGTAGTCCTACATGGCCAAGAAATCAGAACCAACAGGGTCAAATGGCACATCCTGCTGGGGGTGCATGGTTCACATACTGAGGCCCAGAGAAGAGGCTTCCTCATATTGCACCATAGCTGAAGGCTGAGAGAGGGTGGAAATTCAAATGTCACACCTCATCCTGTTACTGAGGGCCCCCAGCCCTGCCATGCCACAGAGGCCTGTTATCGTTCCTGTCATACACTTGCTTTAGACAAGACACTGAACTTCTCTGAGCCTCCGTTACCTCATCATTTAAAGATAACATACCTATCTCTGAAGATTCACATAAAGCTCTCAATACAATACCTGGCAATAGTAGGCACTCAATAAGTTAATTTGTTCAGCAAATATTTACATACAAAGCACCATGCAAGGCACTGGGAATTGGCAATAAGACACAAGTTCCTGCCCTCAGACAGACAGTCCCCAGGTTAAGAAAATCCAACTTAGGGGCAATTCCTACCTGTCCTTTTAATGTTCTACAAATATGCCCTCACTTTGAAATGGCTGAACCAACCCCTACTTGCAACAAATTCTTCATCACAATCATTTCACTTGCATGTGCAGCTTTTGAATCATTGAAAAGGCTTTGTGCCTTTTCTTGCACTAAAAATCCAACCCAACCTACTGCCATTGAGTCGATTCTGACTCATAGTGACCTTATAGGACAGAGTACAATTGCCCTATAGGGTTTCCAAGGCTATAAATCTTTATGGAAGCAGACTGCCTCATCCTTCTCCTGTAATGTGGCTGGTGGGTTTGAACTGCCAGCTTTTGGTTAGCAGCCAAATGCCTTAACCATTGCACCACCAGAGCTCCTTAGTGACTCATATAACCCATTGCCATCAAGTTGATTCTGACTCATAGCAACCCTGTAGGGCAGAGTAGAAATGCCTCATAGGGTTTCCAAGGCTATAGATCTTTACAGAAGCAGACTCAGAATGGATTGTGGGTTCCAATTGGTGACCTTTTGGTTAGCAGCTGAATGCCTTCATCACTGCACCACCAAATCTCGTCTCTTGCACTAACATAAGGCTAAATAAGAATCATACGCACCTGTTCTGACTCACCTACAAATTCCACTTAAAGGCTTAAAGGCACTGCTAGGAATGGATCTCTTTTGTAACCTGGGGCCTGCTTGTGTAGGTGTAAGGTATTTAGAATATGAGCGCATGTAAATCCCAGGGCAGGAGAGTCTGTGGAGCTAGAAGAAGGCTGGGGGAGAGGCAGGAGAGGATGGGGTCCCTCCATACCCCAACTTGGCCTCTTCCTCCCAAGGCCCACTGCCCAGTCCCACTCTGCCTGGGCCCTACCTGGCACAACACCCCTAGCCGCAGCAGGCACTGTTTCTTGGCTGTCATCACAAAGTAGTGGGTGTCATCCTTATAGTACACGATGTTCTCCAGATCAATGCCTGGGGACAGAGAAGGGAACAGGAGATGTATGTGCATCACCTCTCCAAACACCCCAACCACAGGCTCACTTGAAAGCTGGGACCAGAGTTCTGATTGCAGTGCCTTACAGGCACAAGGTCCATCTGTTTCAGGCCCAGGAGGGCTGAGGGCATGGGGCAAAAATGGAAACAGGGCCAGTGTAGCAGCTGGGAGACCTGTACATCAGGGTCACATGTTATGGGTGACAGCCTGGCCTCACAAGCTGGAGTTTGCACTCCTCAGGGGGCGTGGCAGTGTGCAGCCAGAGTAAACACAGGGCGTCTTCTTGAAGTGCCACTTTCATTTTGAATTTATACTGTTTTACATTAAAGCACCTATAAAGGCTGGCAGTTCAAACTCACCAGCCACTCCTCGGAAGGAAGATGGGGCAATCTACTTCTGTAGTGATACTGCCTCGGAAACCCAAGGGGGAGTTGCTATGAGTCAGTCCGACTTGACGGCATATACCAACAACAACAAAGGAGCACAAAGGAGTGCCAGAAGAGGGGCTGAGCCTTGATCCCGTGGTACATACAATCTTACGAGAGATTTCCAAGATGTGTCATACAGAGTGGCCAAGGGGGCTGTGCCTCCTGAATCCCTGGGGCACAGGTTCTTTCCCCTTTGCTGCCAAGCCACGAAGATGGAAAAGCATGAGACTCTTAGACCGAGGACAGCTCAGAGAAGAGGGAGCCAACTCACAGCCAGGCAAGGGGAAGGAGGGCCCACCTGTGGCCTTGAGCAAGCTCTGGAAGAAGTTCTGGTTATAGATCCTGGCCACACCACTGATCTCGGGCACCTGCGTCTCCTCCACAGTGCGCCCATTCACAAAGTTGGCTGTAATACCTATGGCCAGTTTGCCTCGCATTTCTCGAACTGTGAAGCCTGGGGGAGCAAGGGTAAGTAGTGGCAACAGGATGAGAAGTATAAAACCCCCAAACCAAACTTGCTATTGTTGAGTCGATTCTGACACATGGTGACCCATAAGTAGAGTAGAACTGCTACACAGGGTTTTCTCGGCTGTAATCTTTACAGAAGCAGATGGCCAGGCTTTCCTCCCACAGAGCCGCTGGGGGAGTCTGAACCATCAACCTTTAGGTCAGTAGTCAAACACAAGCCATCTGTACCACCCAAGGACCCCTACGAGGGGTATGTTGTTGTTATGTGCTATCGGGTCAGCCCCGAGGCAGTATCACTACGGAAGTAGATTGCCCAACCTTCCTTCTGAGGAGTGGCTGGTGGGTTTGAACCACCAGCCTTCTGGTTAGTAGTCAAGTGCCATAGGTACTACGCTATACAAGGGGTGTAACAGCCTAGAAAACTCACGATGCTGGCTTCTTCGAGGGGAAAGGAGTCACTCACCTTCAGGGACGAATTTACCTCCAGCAGCAGAGATAAGGACATCAAATTCATAGTTGGCCAGTTGGACCGGTGGGCTGGGCTGGAGCTGGGCACGCCAGCCACACCCTAGGGCAGAAGGTATGAGAGGCACAAAGGTGTGAAAGTCAGAATGGGCCCCTACACTCCCTCTGCAAACCACCAAACTCACTGCCGTCAAGTCGGATCCAACTCATAGTGACCCCTCCTTGGGTTTCCAAGGCTGTATCACTATGGAAGTAGATTGCCCAGTCTTCCTTCCGAGGAGTGACTAGTGGGCTTGAACCACCAGCCTTCTGGTTAACAGTCAAATACCTTAGGCACTACACCACCAGAGGTCTCAGCTCACTCCCCATCCCAGCCCATTTCTTTGACAGATGATCCTTTGTGAGTAGGGGTTCCTGGGAACAGAGGAGTACCTACCCTTTTTGGGAGGGGGCTGGAGGCCAGTGAAAGTGACACCCCAGTGAATTTCCACTCCTAGCAGTAGTGCTACCTTTAGCAGTAACAGCTGAAGCTGACGGATGCCTAGAAGTGAGGGGGGGCGTTAGGAACAGGAACCCTGGCTACACAGCCTCCCAGAGCACCAGTGTGTGTCTGGTCAGAGCTGAGGAAGCTCTTAGAAATCACTCGGCCTAGCTACCCGTTTTACAGTTGAAGGACCTGAATCCTGAAGGTCACTTGGAGGAAGTGACTCTTGTCTACTCTGCCTCTTCCCTGCCCAGCAGCCCCCACCCTGGCCCAGCATTAGGCCCAGGCTCTCCCAATCCCAGGCCACCACGTGATGATGCTTACTGATGTGGTCCAGGGAGCCTGTGCAGAAGCGCCCATAGAACTTCTTGGCACCAAGTGCCCGCAGGTCATGGATGGTGAAGGGCCAGAGGTGGAGCACATTATGGCGAGAGAACTTGATGCGCTTTTCCACCAGCACCACACGGGCCCCCAGTAGTGCCAGCTCCACCGCAGTCCGTAGCCCACAAGGTCCAGCGCCCACGACCAGGCACTGTGAACACAGAAGGCAGTATGGGGCTGACATCCTGCCTCCGTCCTCCCGTTCTCCCCACTCTCCAGGACTCACCTTGGTGCTGGTGCAGGCCCGGCCCTGCTGGTACACAGGCTGGCCTGCTCGCTTGTCCAGCTTGGCCCACAGGGACTTGGCACTCCAGTAGTTGAGCTGAGCCTTGATTTTGTGGTATTGGGTCAAACCCCCACCAGCCTCTACCCCCAGGGTCTCACAGAGCCCCTGGAAACTGCTCAGCACATCCTGACACTGCTGGGCCTGCAGGAAGCTCTCAAAGTGGGCATGTGCTGGGTTAGTGGAGGTGGGCACCGCCATGGAGGCCCTGGATGCTCCCAGGAAGGGGAGCAGCTGGGCAGAGAGATTTGGCTGTGGAATGGAGAGAGAGATGGAGGTGGAGGCTGAAGAAAGGAGAAAGAAAAAAAAGAAAAAAAAGTGGCTGGTGGGGTAAGTTGAGAGCTTGGATTCCACATCTGATTGGCTCTGCTCCTCCCTCCCGCCCCCTCCCCAGCCAGAATCTGTTCCACAGACAGCTGCTAACCATTGCACTCTGAAAGAAATTTGCCAAATTTGGAAAAGAAAAACCAGCAGTCCTGGGCAGAGAGGGCACAGGGCACCAGGGGAGCTTCCAATTCAGCCTTTCAGTCCCGGGATCTCGAAGCGCCTTGCGCTCCCTGGGGTCCTAGGGACAGGAGTTCTTAGCTTGCCTTCCTGAGGCTAAGACCATGAAAATAGAATGTGTAGAGGGCAGGGGGAGGAAGGCTTCCCTTGCGCTCACACCCCCACCCCCAGCTGCCTTATCTCACCCCAGGCCTTCCTGCTTCGGGTGCTCCTCGATGCCCTCAGTGCCACGCTGGTTGTGGGGTGTGTCTGACACTGGGCAAAGGTTTCTTCCTCAGCACTCGTGCTCGCCTCCTGAGGAGGGGAAGATAGTCTGTAAATGCGTAAATTCAACTTCCCACGTTCAAAACGACCTCAATCGCTGGAGGATGTTGCGACTGATTGGGTGACAGAAACCTAGGTCTATTCCTGACTCACTGTGGTTAACGTACTTCCCCTCCCCTGAAAGCTTGCGGCAGCTCCTGAGGGCCTCGAGGCGGGTAGTGTCGGGAGTGGAGGGGAACGGGGGGAGGGGGAGCAACAGCCGGGTCCACACCCCAGCCTCCTCCCACCCCAATCAACGCCCCGCCCCGTCCGCTATCGCGCTCCCGCACGCTCTCCCAGGAATCTCTCCAAGACAAGGCAGCTCTTTGTCCCCCAATCCCACGCTCCAGCCCCCCACGCAACTTGGGGGATGTCAGAGAGGTTTTCTCAGGCTTGGTCTGGGAGGGATTGGAGGATACAGAAGATCAGTTGTCCATGGGGGTGCGGGGGATATGTCAGTGTTTGCGGCTGGCCGTGAAGCTAACACCGATCCTCGCCCCGCCGCCCCTCGGATTCCAGGCGGCACCCAGCGGGCGGCGCCACGAGAAAGGTTCTATAGTCAGCTGCTGAGAGTCACCTGGACAAGGCTGGGCAGGACGTCAGGAAGGGCAAAGCTCTCCCTTGGGAGTGACGAAGTGGAAGGAGGAAGACCTCGGCGAAGAGAAGAGAGGGGCGACCACCAAGACAAAGGATGTGCGAGGCGCGGGAGGCGGCTCCGGGCCGAGCGGAGAGAGGATGGAGAGGGTGCTTGACCACTGGAGGCGAGGTGTGGGCCCACTAGGGGCAGTAAAGTCTGCAGCGGGGCTGCGCTGGCCGGGGTGGGGCTGGGGGGCGTGTTGGAGGCCGGCCAGATCTGCCAGGTTCGTTTCCGGAGCCCGGGGCCCTCACTTCCCTGGAATGACTCCTGTCTCCCCGCCCCGGTCCCCGCGGGCAGGGGGCGCACAGCTGGACTACTTACCCGGCGGCGGCGGCGGAGCAGGGAGGGGACGCTTCCTGCCGAGTCAGGGCGGGGGGTGCGGAGAGGGCGGAGGAAGAGGAGGAGGAAGCAGCGCGGAAGGCGGCACAGGGGATGTGGGTACGCGGGACAGCCGCGCCCAGCCCCGGAGTCCCACGAGTGTGGACTTAGGGCGCGGGGCGCGCGGCCCGCGGCCCGCAGAGGCTTTATGAGTGCCTTATTAGCATCTCATTACTAGGCGAGCCCGGCTCGGGACAGCCCCTGGACCACCCACGCCTGCAGGGTGGCACCCGAGGGCGTGGCGCTCCAGGCACTGTTCCGCTTGTGGGCTGGAGACCCGGGTGGATCCTGAAGGGTCCAAGGAGCCCGAGGCCAGGGGCGCCCAGTGCTCCGCCTCTCACCGGCGGCCTCAGGCTCCTTCCCGGCGCCCATGCGACCAGCCCTTTTCCTGCAGGCGAGCCGAGGACACGGGACCAACTCTGCGAGCGTCTCCCAACTTTGGGCAAGAAGCTTGGAGGAGCTGGCGGGTCCGAGGGTGGCGCTGGAACGGTGCTCTCCTCACTTCTTGGCCCGGTGCCGTGCCACGGATCCAAGCTCACAATCTGCTTCTACGGTCACAGATGTGCCTCCAGACACGGGCAAGTGAGGGACAAGGGGTTCTTGTGGGAAAATGAAAAGAAGTAGTTTAGGTGAGGGGCAACATCCTCAATATTGCAGAATGTGTTAGAGTGAGAACCCAAAGAACTGTGAGCCCTGAAAAGGGCTAGAGGGACTGTGGGATCAACTTCCTCATATTCTTGGTAAAGAAATAGGGCTGAAAGTGAAGGGACTCGCCCAAGATCATCCGACTAGTCAGTATTAATAAAACATCAATTCCTATGTATTTGGTGTCTGCTATGAGTATTAATCTCAATGCTTACAATGGTCTCGTTTTACTGAAAAGGAAACAGTCATAGAGATTTCTGTGTGATCTAAGTCACACAGCATGTGTCAGAACTGACATTGGGGCCCAAGTCTATCAGGGTTCCACCACCTAATGTTGACTCCATGTGACAAGTAAAAGCCTGGCATTATAAGAAGGTGTTCATTGTTTAGAGAGACATGACACTGTTATATTAGAAACATTAAAACCAAGGAATAAATAGGGTTGCTGTCTCTGAGAGGCAGGGACAGAAGAGAGCTGGGTACCCTATGGCTCTCCTATTCTCCTCAGTTTGCATTTTGTCTGGAAATCTTCTGAGGTCCCGTGAGACCTGTACACTCCGCTTCCAGCTTCAGCAAAGAAACAGGCAGGGGGAGGTAGGTAAGGGGGAAATGCCTGCTCTCTGCCAGGAGAAGAGGAATTTCAGCCAGGTCAGCTCAGGAAACTAGGGCAGCTTCCCATCGGGGCCCAGCTTAGCTCTGGAGTGTGACTCCCTATTTCGCTTGAAGTGAATTTGCTGAACATTAGACACACCCATATTTAAATACACGGTATAAAAATGTTCTAAAGTCAACTATAAGTTGTTTGCCAGCCTTTAGAACCATCCTATTTCCCTTTCATGAGCAGAGAACAGCCAGCTGCGTCTGTTTGCAGAGGCCCGACAGGGTCTGGCCCTTGACTGACTTTCCCTTCATTCCAGTTTGACACCCATGTTGACAATTTCCATTTCCATCTCAGATACACTGAATCAGAATCTACATTTTAACAAGACATAAGTAAGAATCTTAGGGATCTTGTTAAAATGTAGATTCTGGTTCAGTATATCGAGGATGTTGTTGTTGTTGTTGTGTGCCGTCAAGTCGGCCCCGACTCGTAGTGACCCCTCCTTGGGTTTCCGAGGCAGTATCACTACGGAAGTAGGATTGCCCAACCTTCCTTCCGAGGAGTGGCTGTAGGATTGCCCAACCTTCCTTCCGAGGAGTGGCTGGTGGGTTTGAACCGCCAGCCTTCTGGTTAGCAGTCAAGTGCTTTAGCCACTATGCTACCAGAGCTCCTCATAGATAGAAATGCAAATTCGCAGCAGGGAGTTGAAATGAAATGAACTGGATGGAAGCCTTCAGCCAGTCAGGACTGTGTGGCTCTCTGGTTGGCAAATGGAAAACTAATTTCAAAAAAGATCACAGAATAAGGATGAGTTCATCAGTGCAAAGAAACTGCTGACTTGGAATTTCACTTTATGCTAATTAAAGCTATACAGCAGAGCATAAAGCAACTGAGAATACACTGAGCTGGAATTCAGCTCTGGACAAATGCCGGCTGTGTTTCTCACTCGTCTCCTGTAACCTTGGAAAAGTCTCATCTCTAGATGGAGGCAGTTAAATTACTCAACCTCCTCAGCCCAATTCATTTCTAAAGTTCTACTCTCCAATATTGGTGGCAGCAAAAAATGTAGACTGGAAGACCCAAACCAAGTTCTATTTATAGAACTCTTAAAAATGACCTCTATTAAAGCTAAAAGAATATATTTATTATTTATCTGCAGACATTTCTTTCTTTCATCCAAATCTTTGAATCATGATCCACATATGTGTATATGAACTGAAATACTGGCATAGTCACACTGGACAGTTCCTGTTAGATCAAAGGAGCCACAGCCTAATGCTTTGGCAAATAATCAAGCCAGCAGTGGCTTCCATTTATAAACCTGAGTCATTAAGACAGGCTCCCCTTTCCTCTAACCTTTGCTATGTTCTGTCTTGCAATGCCATCCTTACTTTTCACCTCTCATCTGGGCCTGAAGCCAGAAACTAGGTCCCTAGCACTCCAGGTGAAACGTCTAAGCCAACTTTTAATGGTGCCATGCACCTGCATGCATTCTTATATAAGAATCACCTGGTGAGCTGTGTGAGTCACCTGGGAATATTGTTAAAATGTAGATTCTGATTCAGTACATCTACAGTGGACATGCAGATTCCCAGCAGGGGTTGAAGCAAAATGAACCAGTCAGTTCAAAGCCCTGGGTCAGGAGCTGTGGAAGTAGCGTGACCAGACAGACATGGCTCCTGATGTGACAATAATTACAAACTGAGCCCAGAGTGTAAAGGGTGCCATCAAAGGATATAACAGGGTGGCTTCATGGAGATTAGGGAGCCACAGAGGGCCTCCTTGAAGAAGTGACCCTTACATTGAATTCTGACAGATGAGCAGACATTAGTCAGAGAGTGAGTGGAAGAAACCTTTCAAGGCTGAGAAACTACCTGCCCAAAAGCCTGGAGGCAGGAAAGAGCTGGGTGTGTTTGGGGAACAGCAAGGGAGCTGGTGTGCTGGAAGTGAGCACCCTAGAGTTGGGATTTTATTCTAAGGGCAGTGAAAACGGCACTTAAGGATTTTAACCAGAGATGTGGTCATATTTGCATTACTAAGAATGAAAACCCATTCATTTTGCAAGGCACTCTGCTTGATGCTAAGGGGACAATGGTGAGAACTAGTAAGACACTGCTTCCAGTGGAGAAAAATGGTGGAGTGGGGACTGGAAGTCCAGGCAAGAGGCCATGTCATCACATTAGGGATGGGAGAAATGGAGGGATTCGTAATATATCTTGAGGTCAAAAGGGCATGACTTGGTGATGGATTGGGTGTTTGTCTGCAGGAAGGTAGGTAGTGGGGATAGGACAGTGAGGAGGGCCCCTTAAGAATGACTCCCAGTTTTTCCTTGTGGCCAGTTAGGGTGGGTGAATCACAAATTTGGGTCCCTCATTCTTTCCCACTATCTATATGCTAGGAAGCTGGTGGCACAGTGATTAAATGCTCAGCTGCTATCTGAAAGGTCAGTGGTTTGAATGGACAAGGAGCTCTGTAGGAGAAAGATATGGCAGTCTGATTCCTAAAGATTAGATTGGAAACCCTAGAGGGTTGCTGTGAGTTGGAATCGACTTGACAGCAATAGGTTTGGTTTTGATATGCATGCTGCTTTTTATTTAAGTACCTTACCCAGAAGTCAAAGCGGAATGAGTCCATAAAGGTAACACAAGAACTCTACTCTGAGAGGTTGTAAAAGTTAAATATATAAATAGGTTCCGGATCAATTTAAATATTTTTGTTAAGAGCGTGCTTACATCATTTAAACACCAAGATTATTGGGGAAATTTGTCCAGAAGCCACTGAATCACAAAACTTTCTATGAGGTAGATTCTAAAAATGTGGGAAGTTTTGATCTTAACTCTAATTTAGCCCAAGGAAGCTTCAGTTTTTCATTTAACTAGGTTAAAAGCAACATGAATTAAAACCAAGAACCAAACTATTCTTTTGGGAAATCATATTCAAACTCATATTTGATCTTATATGTTAAGAATTAAAAAGAATAAATCCATGCTTTGAGATCAAGGAAGTTCCCTGTCCTAATCCTTGCTTAAATATTTTCCTATCTTTCTACACTTCAGATTGTATAAAGTATCACTTTTCAGATTCATGTTTTTTTAAAAGAAAGCTAAGATGATCCCTTGCTAATGTATCCAAATGTGTTCAACTCCTTCATTTTCTGGGTTGAAAAATGTGACTGAATGAGCTTCAATTTACAAGGTCTACTAATGTGATACATGTTTCAAGGTGAGAATGAAATACACCACACACACCTGAATTCCAGTCAACAGAAACTTTCCCTTAATTATTTGAAAGCAAGATAAACAATCATAATGACTTTCTGCTGCTTTTAGAGGGCATTCCTTGATACCTTCTATTTACAAAGGAAGGCAAGGGGATTTTTCTACGGCTCATTCCTTCACAGCTGGTATTTAAGAAAGCAAGGCAAAGTATTTTCTTTCAATTCTTAAGAACTCAGTTTATTAAAGGTTGGAAACTGAGGATGAAAATTTACCTCATTACTTAAAAATCAAGGTAGAGAAAATAAAACAGGTGTACTCAAAACTTAAAATGTTCTCAATCAGAAGTTCAAAATAAAGGCTTATTTAGCTTAGCCATTTTCACTTTGGTGGTAACTTTCATGCTTTAAGTCAATTTTAGTTTTTTTTTTTTAAAAAAAAAGAAAGGTCTTATTACATCAAGCTGATCATATATAGAGAAATCCAGGTTATAATTTCAAAAGACTGGTTACAGTAAACCCATATGGTAGAAGCAGCAGAGTGTAGTCAGCTGGTCCTGTACCCCAGTCCTAGCTCTGCCACTTACTGTGTAATTCTCAGAAAGTGACTTCATCTCTTTGTGCCTCAATGTTCTCATCTGTAAAATAGGTGTTTATCTCATAGGAAAGTCATGAAGACTAAAATAAATGGCTTCAAATGGATTACAGGTATGTTCCAGGCACTTTTCCCTTCTGCCTTCTGGGTATCAGTCATGGTCTGAGGTGACTGGAGTCCCTGAAACACAAGATACCATGTACATTCTATTTTTTTGTGGTGGCATAGTGGATAAGGCACTTGGCTAATAACCAGAAGGCTAGCAGTTCAACTCCACCAGCCCACACCGCAGAAGGAAGATGGGGAATCTACTTCTGTATGAAAACTCAGTGGGGGTTGCTATGAGTTGGAATTGACTCAATGGCAGTGAGTTTGGTTTTTTTTTTTTAATGACATGAAAGAAGGGGTTGAGAAGTTCTAAGACACTGCCCTAAAGCACCTGGCTTTGCTTCTGGCATCTGTAAAGACCATGTGACAGATATTGTTGTTGTTCCAACTTAGGAAAACTAGATGTAAAATCTGTAGTGAGAATCTCATTTTATTCCTCAGATTACTTAACTGGTCGCTCACTGTGTTTAAAATACAAATTGTAGAAAATACACAGGGTAAAGGTGGAAAGAAGAGTTTTAAGAAACACAGGAAGAAGCACGAGTGACTTATTTTGATGGCTAACAGCTCAGGTCTTCCCAAGGCCATGTCTAGAACAAGTGAGGAACTGAATTTTAATCTTATTTAACATACATTTAAAAACTGATTTTTTAAAGAAAAATTTAAGTATGTTTGGAATGGCTTTGCTTGAGTATGTGAACCTACTTACCAAGTGCCATCACAATGATTCCAACTCGTAACTCTATAGGGCAGAGTAGAACTACTCGGTGGTGTTTCCAGGGTTGTTAAATCTTTATGGAAGCAGACTGCCTCATCTTTCTCCTGCAGAGTGGCGGGTGGGTTCAAACTGCTGACCTTTTGGTTAGCAGCCAAATGCCTTAATCACTGTACCACTGGAGCTCCTTAATCTATATACATATCATGTGTATCTGATGAACGCTCCATCCATACTGAGATGTGCAGCAGTAACTTTAAAATACACACATTCTGAAGACTTTGTATGAAAAAGAAAGTATTTCATTAATACATTTTTATATCGATTACATTAAAATTATATTATAAATGTCAGGTTAAAGAAAACGTACTATTAAAATTGATTTCATCTGTTTCTTACGTTTTTAATGTGGCCTCAAGAAAATTTAAAATTACATGAGGCTTATACTGTTTCTATTAGATAGCACTGAGGTAGACTGTCATAGAGCTAGGTAAACATGTCATATAAATAGCCATGTTGACCATATTTCCTGATTATCTAGCTATCCAGAGTGAGTAGTCAAAAGTTCATTTACTTTAATACTACGTATACCTCCTGGAGAAATTATGGACCAGTAAAAATGTTCTAAGAATAAGGTTAAACAGTTTAAATGACTAAATCAAGAACCTGAATAATACTTAGGGTATATCTGTAAAATTTATACCTTTGCTCTAGTCAGGTTTGATTTAATATTACTTTGGTTGATAGACATAAAACATATTATTTTAGAAATTTCATGAGTTATATACAATAACTTGGCAAACAGGCAGCAAAAATGCGTTCATCTCTCAAATTGGAAGAATTCTCTATTACTTTAACCGCCAAAAACACTTAGTTGATTCAAGTGGAATCTAAGGTATCTGAAACAAGTAAACAAGCAGCTGAACGACACCTGCTTGCTCTTTAGCTTTAGGGTAGGTCACCCCTACTGTCCACCGCCGTTCTGTTAGTTTAGATATCCTATTGCCTACCTTTTTTGGGGGCTTTCTCAATTCTCTACCGGTCCACTTGACAGGAAGTGGTCAGGAAAGTGCTCAATAAAATATCCTGAGCTCTAAAATCTAACCCAAACGTATTTAATCTTTTAGTGATTACTTAAAATCATTAAATGATTAAAGATACAGGCTAGCTACTTAATCTCTGAGGCCCAAAATTATTTTTAGGAAAAGATGTTTATTTTTTTAAAATAATGTCTCCATCTTGTGGGTTTAACCTAGTTTGCAATAAAATTCAGTTATATAATAAGCTTCCATCTCCCCAAAATCATCAGACACAATACACAGACCGACATTTTGAGAGGTCAATTAGAATTCAGTAGAGTACATTTAACACTTAAATTACACTGAATGGAATTATACTGTTATAGGATAGTAAAGAAAGCTTTAATTTCATCAAGAAGATCAGATTATCTTTGCTTTGTTTAGAATTTATTTGGGGTGAGTGTCTTGACCCAATCTTTGTTGTTGTTGTTATGTACCGTGGAGTCAAACCCGACTCATAGCGACCCCTCCTTGGGTTTCCGAGGCAGTATCACTACGGAAGTAGGATTGCCCAACCTTCCTTCCGAGGAGTGGCTGGTGGGTTTGAACCGCCAGCCATCTGGTTAGCAGGCAAGTGTCTTAGCCACTATGCTACCAGAGCTCCAATCTAGACATTTTAATTAAAATTTAAGTCCATGTTTCTCAGAAAAATTGAGTTCAGAATTTAAAAAAAAAACAAAGTGTAGTTTCAGCTTTCTTGTTCTATGAACTGAGTAAAACAGACCTCAAGTTTGTATGTCTCGTGAGTCTTCCTTAAGCATGAGAAGAAGGGGCCACTGTAGTGTACAAAGATTAAGTGTAGAGGGGGACAGTCACTCTTTATTAGGGGATTGGAAGCATTAAAAGGACAAACTGCCCAAATGTGATCTGCTCTATGCAGCCCTCAGTGGGCTGTAGTCATCTTAAAGTGGCAACTGCTGCCTGTGAGAAATAAGGAAGTGACACCAACACTTGACCCAATTCAACTAACATATGACTTTCTTTGTTCTAAAAAAATGTAACTGGAACATCAGCAAGAACATTTATACAGGCAGAAAAGTCTAAATAAATGTCCCAAAGAAAAACTGCCCCAGTCTTTAAGAGATACAGAAAATGGAAATGAAAACCATTCATTACTACTGAAATGCTAAAACCAAGTCAGAACTATTTTAACACATTATATGCACATCCTGCTGCCTGGAAAGCATGACACATACCACCTAGCTATCACATCTCTGCAAGGATCTGTAAGGCAGCATTTCAGAAAGCCTGACTTTGAGTATTTGCAATCCAGATAGGGCTGGCTTGCAGAGAAGAGACCAAGAGAGAAGTCAAGCATGTTTACAGGTCAGCTGTGCTCCTGGCTAAGTGGCGTGGGCTGGGGTGCATGATGGGTGGGTGGGGGCGGATTAGGCTCCTGTGTCAGCTGCACGTGCTGGGCTGGATCTGAAGTGCTTGCTGCTAGATGGAGCTCCTCGGTTTGCTCTTGATGGGCATGAAGATGTTCCAGGGTTTCCTTGGAGAGTGTGATTACATGCACCGGCCCCGTCTGCGAGGGCTCCATCTGGCCTTCGATCATATTGAGGCTCTGAATGTGTTCCGTTTGCGCCTGCTGTGCCGAAAGAATTAAATTCTGCAGTTGCTCTGGCTGCTGTGTGAGCAGGGTGAGATTAGCAGCCTGATCTGTGCTCATGCTCTGGGAACTCTCAGCAGCAACAATGCTGATTCCCTGGCTCGGACCAGGCATGAAATTGAGGTTATGTACAGAATCGGTTACAAGAAGCTGAATTTCCTGCTCTCCAGAGGTTGAGAGCTGATACGGCTGTAGCTGCAGAATATTCCTGACCTCTTCACTATTATTATTGCTGGATATGCTGCTGGTGTCTGCCACATGTTTCTCCTTGCTATGGATTTTCAAGTGAGCCTTCAAGTTGTCTAAGCGGGCAAACTGTAAATTACACTCTGGGCAGGAGAAAGGCTTTTTGCCCGTGTGCAGAATGCAGTGTCTCCTCTTGGCACTGGAGTCAGAGAAGGATTTGCCACATATGCCACAGGAGTATGGCTTCTCTCCTCTATAAGAAAATACAAAATTGATTTTTAAAACTGAAATACCTGTTTATTCCTTGCCTGATTATTTAGGGAAAAGCAGTTAGGAATAGAGGAAAATGAGCTAGACTGGAAATCCTAAGTCATGGGTTCAACTACAGGATCTGGAGCAAGTCACAACATCCCCTGGCTTCAGTTTCTAACCTAATGCAGGGGAAAAAAAAAAAAAGTAGGGTGGTGAAGGAAGGATAGCAGATGGGATTGGGCTAGATGAGATAACATTTTATGATTCTATAATATATATTTCAGATAAGAAAATATATCTTTATATGCTATGCATATAACTCTTTTTTTGCTTTTAGTTCTCAGCCAACCCAAGGAGGGGTTGCTATGAGTCAGGTCCGACTTGACGGCACATAACAACAGTGGCTGATGATATGTATCTATGTATTTTGACAATAAAATTCAAACATCTCTTAATGATTTCTGATGCAGTAACAAGAACTCTTAGATACAATCTGGAAGTAATCTGTGTGAACAAATTAATTAATCAAAATTAAATAAATGACTCTGTAAATTTTCACCCAAATCATAATTTAAAAAAATTAAATAAATAAATGAAATCATAATGCAAACCTTGATCAGAATCGGTTTTCTCTGATTTTGCCTAAGTGAGGGATTTCTTTATTGTGAAGAGAAAGAAAAAATAAATGACACAGAAAATTCTACCAGAGCACTAATTTGGGAAAAAAAGACTATAGAAGTAGTATGCCACTCCACTGAACTCCAGGGTTGAATGAGGACTCTGCGTAAGAAAAATATCTGCAAAACTTTACCGATGGATTCTGATGTGGGTCTGGAGAGAGCTCTTTGCTGTGAAAGATTTGCCACAGATTTCACAAGTAAATGGCTTTTCACCTAAAAAAAAAAAAAAAAAAAAAAAGGAAAGCATTTTGAAATACACATTCAGCAAAAAACAGAAAACTACCCCATAGTTTGATAATATAAAAAAGAACAAATGCAGTATCACGTTGACTCTCAATAAGCATGCATCCATGAATGACACACTTACCAAGAGCCTATAATGGACCTACCCTGTATGCTAAGTGCTAAGAGGATACAGATACAGTGCAAGGCACAGAGCTTTCTCTTAATAACCTTACAAGTGAAGAAGGAGGTGAGGGACTACATGGAGGAAATAAACACACCCTATCTGTTGTTGTTAGATGCCACTGAGTTGCTTCCGGCTCATAGCCACTCTGTATACAACAGAAACAACACTGCCCAGTCCTGAGCAATCCTCATAATCATTGTCACTGCTGCAGCCACTGGGTCAGTCCATTTCATTGAGGCTTCCTCTTTCTCACAGACCCTCTACTCTACCAAGCATGATGTCCTTCTCCAGGCACTGGGCCCTCCAGATAACATGATCACAGGTACTCAAGATGATGGATGCACTCTAAGGAAGTACTTATCCTTGCTTCTAAGGAGCACTCTGGCTGTTCTTCTTCCAAGACATATTTGTTTGTATTTCTGGCAGTCCATGCTATCTACGTTCAATATTCTTTGCCAACACTATAATTCAAAGGTATCAATTCTTCTTCAGTTTTATTTACTGTCCAGCTCTGGAGTGCATGGGTGAATGAAAATACCATGGCTTGCATCAGACATATCTTAGTCCTCAAAGTGACATCTTTGCTTTTTAACACTTTTAAATAGGTCCTTTGCAGATTTGCCCATTGCACCATATTTACTCCTGTAATTTTTACCTTTACCTACAACAGCAACTTATATCCATACCTTATACCTTCTAAAATATTTCCCATAAAGGTTAGCCCCTTTGACCCTCAAAAAGACCCCCATGCACTAGGGTGATTATGTATTACTCGCACTTACATCTACCTTCCAAATATACCCAAAATCTGCCCACTTCTCACCACCTCCACTGCCAGCCCCCGGTCCTCCTAGCTGGTATCCTGCTGCTGCTGCTTCCCTGTAACCCACTATCAATGTGCCACTGCAGTGATCCTTCAGGTCATTTCCTACTTCCACTGCAAACTCCCGTGTGGTTTCCCATCTCAGGTCCTTGCCCTACAAAGAACCATAGATCTAAACCTCTTATCTCCTTAATCATCCTTAACTTCATTTCCCACTTTCCCTGTCTCACTGCACTCTAGCCTCTCTGGCATCCTTGATGGTCATTGAACACCACGCCCCAAACAAGTCCTCACCTGGGGTCTTTGTACTCACTATCCCTTCTACCTGGCACGTCACCCCCAGGGGTCTCCCACTTACAGCTCACTCGCTCACTTCCACTAAGACTCTGTCAAATGTTACTTTACCAGGAGGTCAGCAACCCCTGCCCTTAAAGCATTTCTCGGTCAGTTTCTCCACTTTCGTTTTCTCATAATGCTACCACCATCTCATATACTACACATTTTATTTATTGCCGTTCTTATCTAAGATGATTCATGGGTTTGTTTCCTCACTCTCCAGTGCCTAGAATGGGGCTTGGTACACTGTTCATGAAATCTCTATTGGGAGGAAAAGAGAAAACTTCCTTTTTTTGATGGTATTTCCTAATTGAAGATCATTTTCAGAGATGCACTGATTTCTTAAGAGAGTGAACTTAATTAAAATGCAGTTTATGCACTATACAACATTTATATTTTTACTGTCATTCCCCCCTGCCACCCCTAAAATCTGAATGTTAGCTGTGTGAAAGCAAGGATTTTTGTCTGTTTTTTTCACTTGAGGTCTCAAGTACCCAGAACAGGGCTTGATGTGTTGTAAGTACACAATACTTTTTTTTTTTTTTTTTCTTTTTTGCTTGACTGAATAAATGGTAAAACAAGTAAAGAGGAAATAATAGAGGCTAGTAATGTTAAATAATATGTTCCTGTCCAACCAAGGTTAAAGTATGTACTGTTTGTTGTCCAATCAAAGGTTCTCAGCAGTTCCAATACAGAAATGAGTGAACTAAACTGCCTTGTGGTGCAAACAAATATAGGCACCAAACCAAACCAAACTCACTGCTGTTGAGTCAATTCAACTCATAGCGACCCCTCCTTGGGTTTCCGAGGCGGTATCGCTACAGAAGTAGATTGCCCAATCTTCCTTCCGAGGAGTGGCTGGTGGGTTTGAACCAGCCTTCTGGTTAGCAGTCAAATGCCTTAGGCACTATGCCACCAGAGCTCCTAACAGACACAAAGAACTCAAAGGCACCCACTTGCACTCTGAGTGGGTATGTTGCTCAGATCTGCCTTTGTTTGTATCAATTCACATAAGCTCTTTAGCAGTAATTGAATGGTAAACAGGCAAGAAAGGATTTTTTGTTAATTATTTTTTTCAAAGCTGGATGTTAGAATGAATTATTGAATCGACTGGTCCATAAAAATGACAAATCAATGGTGAAGAGTGAATTCACTGTTAAAAGGCAAAAGGCCAAATAATGACATAATAAAGATGATGGATTAAATCAGATGCTACCAAACTGTGGCTCCCTGGGCCAAATTCTTCCTGTTTTATTAAAGTTTTATTGGAACATTGGAACATTGCCAGACCCATTGATTTTCAGAATGTCTATGGCAGCTTTCATGCTTCAGTGATAGAGTGGGGTAGTTGTGACAGAGACCCTATGGCCTGCAAATTCTAAAATATTTACCACTTGGCCTTTTATAGAAAATGCTTACTGACCCCTGGATTAAATGATGATCCATTACACTAAAGTAAAATAATTAAGCTGACAATTATTGAACATTAAATCAACGATACCTTACGCTGTTAAGTCTAATAGCAGAGGCTTTGCTTCTGTAAAGCATCATTATCCATTATAATAAATTAGTATTATTCATTTAAATGTTGTTGGTAGTTTTAACCTATTTTTTCTGTAGATTTGTTTTTTTATTTGTATAAGGGCTGGAAGCATAAAGATTTATGCCTAAGTTAGTATTCCTATGTATTAACTTTACTGGAATATAATTTAAATCAATCTCCTGGGGATTGGTGCTATTTTTTTTTCCCCCTTTAAATGTGCTCTCATCTCTTTACCATTTAAGTTTGAAAATTACTGATTTAAAAGTATCTGGTAGGAGCTTGTGCCTATGTTTTGCTGTTACATTATGGTCATTGTTAACTGTCCGCCTTTAAACTTGTTTGGGACTGAGGAGCAACATTCTTGAAAAATTCTTTCCTAGTTTCTAGTTGGATCCATAAGTGTTTACCATCTATCTTGGAGAACTGAAGAGAAGCGAAACTTACTGGGGGGTAATTACCTGAGTCCTGTACTTTGTCCTTTTAAACTTTTGGGATGACAGTATTTGGATCATTGCCCCATTACTGCTCACACTTCAAAATGTGGGGCAACTTGTTATGACTGTTGCTTTAAAATTAAGTCCCTTGCCCTGAGCCAGACTACTGGAGCCCAGAAGATTGTGTGTGGGGAGGCTGGGGACCAGAAGGCCTTTCCTGTTATCTGTTCTCTGGAGTTGGACTGTCTGTGAGTTCCCAAAGCTTGAATTTCAAAAGCATTCTCTGTCTGATATAAATCTGTATGTCACTTTTAGAATCTCTGTGTCACAGGCTCATAAGATTTTACAAGCTGAAGAGAAAACTGGAGTTCAAAGAAGTTGAGGTTTTTGCCCAAGGTCACACAGTTTGTAAGAAGCAGAACTAGGATTTCACTAGGTGCATTAACAAAAGACAGAAAACAACAAATCCATGGAAAACTCCCAAAATACAAACAACAAACCAAACCTGACCAAACAAAAAAGCCAATGTAATTTTAGCTCTGAAGTCAGAAGTGTAAAACCACAAGACCACATGCTGTTGTTAGGGGCTGTCGCCTCTGGCTCACAGCCACTCCGTGTACAACAGAACGAAATGCTGCCCGTCCTGCGCCATCCTCACAATCGTTGCTATGCTTGAGCCCAGTTTTTCAGCCACAGTGTCAGTCTGTCTCATTGAGGGTCCTCCCCTTTGTCACTGACCCTCCACTTTACCAAACATGGTATCCTTCGCTAGGCAACTGTCCCTTCTGACAATCTGACCAAAGTAGATGAGATGAAGTCTGTCCATTCCTGCTTCCAAGGAGCATTCCTGCTGCACTTGTTCTGGGGCAGATTTGTTCACTCTTCTGGCAGTCCACAGTTTTCAGTCCAGGTATTTTCAGTATTCTTTGCCAACACCACAATACAAAGGCATGAACTCTTCTTTGGTCTTCCTTATTCATCTAAGACCATATAAAGATTTTGTTCATGACATTAAAAAAAAAAGAGAAAGAAATCCCTGTTGAATGAATTTAACAGATGTAGAAACTGAGACCCACACAGAAGTCACAACTCCAAACCCGACCATGCTTCATTGATGTCTGCAAGTACAAGCACTGCACATACAATGGCACACTGCTCATGCCCTCCAGAAACAAAGCTCAGGGATCCTAATGCTGGCAAAGAACTGTGAATTAAAAACCAAAACACAAGAAAGCAGCAGAACCCCACTTAACTAGGTAACAGCAAGGGATGAAAATAATTTAAAATACGTTGGGCAGTGAGCTTTCCTTTCCACAGAATCTACTGGAAAATTTAAGGTGCCCTGGTGGTACAATGGGAGCTCTGGTGGCATAGTGCCTAAGGCATTTGACTGCTCACCAGAATGCTGGCAGTTGAAACCCACCAGCCACTCCTCAGAAGAAAGGTTGGGCAATCTACTTCCATAGTGATACTGCCTCGGAAACCCAAGGAGGGGTCGCTATGAGTCGGATCTGACTCGACAGCAGTGAGTTTGGTTTTGCGTTTTGGTGACACAATGGCTAATGCCTGGCTACTAACCAAAAGGCTGGTAGTTTGAACCCACCCAGCAGCTTTACGGAAGAAAGACCTGGCAATCTCCTAATGATTACAGCCAAGGAAACCCTATGG